GGCCAGATGGGGCGGGGCAGTACGCCCTCGCGGGCGATCGCGATGCAGTCGCGGGGAAGTCTGCAATCGCGGAGCGGGCGGCCACTGCCCAGTGCCTTGCCCATGGTAACACGGTCCGGCGTCCCCATGATGCGAGGCCGACCGCGACCGATGCGTTCGGTACTCGACGAAATCACTGCCGAGGACCGCGACTTCATCGACGATGGATCGCTCGACGAAATGTCCGACGACGAATCCAGGTGGCGACAAGAACTCCGAGATATCACCGGCTACGATCCCTCCAAATTCGCCAACATGCCCGAAGAAGAAGCTCGGGAATCCACATGTGCCATGATCACTTACGAAGAACGAATTTCCGAACGCATCGCCCGAAAGGAGGATCTGGAGGAATTCAAAAAAGCCCAGGTAACTATGACTCTCCCGTCCCACACCCTCCCTGCACTACTGTCCGACCCTCCCTGCATTACTATCCGACCCTCCCTGCACTACTATCCGACCCTCCCTGCACTACTATCCGGCCCTCCCTGCACTTTGCGCTGTCGCTTTGCGCTGTCGCAAATTCCTTTGTATTAGGAAATGAGTGATGATGAGGATGATGATGATGAATGACTGGAATACCGTCCTTTTAAACAACGTTTAGGATGGTACCTCTGATGAATTCCATCGTCAGTCGTCTGTTACAGGAACCAATTTTGTCAAGCAACGGCTGCAGCACATCCAGGTCGTTGTGACAGGTCGTTGTGGTACGGTGCCAATCTGACTTTCACTCGTCGGTGCCACTAGACCATGTGTGAGGGTAGATGTGGGTGGGTACTTAGGGTAGGTACTTACTACTAAACTGTTGATGGCTTCTTGGAAATCTAACAACGTTCCCTTTTCCCTATGGAGGAGTATTTTAGTTGCCAAGCCGAAACTCCAATTGCAGTGAGAACTTGAGAGGGTAGGGGGGGCTTGAGAGGGGGTGGGGGGGCTTGAGAGGGGGTGGGCTAGGTCCTTACGAAATTTTGAGCCAATTACAATGCATTCGGATAAAACAGTACGCTACAAGTTCTCCGAACGCCTGGTTCTGAAGAAACGTGTTTGACAGTTCGTGTGGCTTACAAAGTTCGGATCATCGTAGTCCGCCAGAAACTGTAACAGTCGACATACATTGCCTTTAGATCCTTTGCTCATTCCCTGAGTTAACGTCTGTTTTAGTGTATGGCAATGTACTGTAGAGTGGTGTTAAGCCGAAACTCCAGAACACATATGTTTGCACACATCTGTGTTGCCTACCACTGATGTGTGTTGGTGTTGGCCTACCACTGATGGTCCCATAGTATCAGTTAGAATCTGATTAGAAAGATACGTATGCAGGTCACTACCGATTCGCAGGTAATTGTAGACCAGAAATACCACGTTGATAAAGCTAGCGCCGTAAGGATAGTATGTACTTCCCGTTACGAACTTGTGTGGGTTCTCGTCACAATCTCGCATTCTAAGATCGACAGAAACTTGCCGTAATTGGTTCGGATGGTGATGAGCAAACCACCACAGACACTGAAGAGCTAAGAGGCCGCCACCACGGAAATCCGTCCATGGCGAACAAGACTGGAAACCGCACATCACCCATCTCTCGTCCGGCACATCCAGCACCTGACCTGTTAAAGTCAAACTATATTCTCGAAGCAACAACTAAAGAATGCGTGGATGGTCTGAAGGGTAC